ATTTTCCCCACTCTTTTCCGGTTTTCTCGGCCGGCTTAGCCGATACTGCCCGGCTGACCACCTCCTCTGGTAGGTGGGCCAAAGGGGCTTGTCTCCCAAAAATTTGGGCCGGTTCGGACCTATAGGCAAAAAATGAAAATAGAAACAAAATTTTTCTAATTGGGAGAATTTATGGGATTTCAGTTTTTGCGTAGCCATTCAAATCAACTTTTCTCCCGATTCCGCGATGTTTATGGTATGTGTAGGACCTCCCCTGGATAGCCTGAAGATTTCTCTATCCGATGAAGTGGTTTTTGCCTCCCCCCTAACCCCGCTTCGCGGGGGAAAAAAGAAAAACTAATTGGGAAATAATTGGGAGAAAATAGAAATCGCGGAAAAAACGTTTTTCCCCCTTTTCCACACATTTCTACTGCTTTTCCTCTTTATATAACACGGTCTTATGCCTCTCCTGTCTCAACCCGGTCTTTTTGCTTGATTTCCTGCCGTCGGCGAGGGCCGAACCAGGGTTAACTGTCGTGCTACCGTAACCCGCACCAGAAAAAAGGGGGTGGAGGTTATCAAACAAAGTTTTCATGGCTTTTCATGGGTATCACCTGATGCGGAAGAGCAAGACGCGTCGATTGGTGTAGGTTAGAAGTCGATCCGGACCGTCCGGAAAACGGTGGCGGTAGAATGTGTTTTTTGGCTGCTTAGGCTTAGGCCGCGAAGCGGCCGCAAAAAAATTCCATCCCGTTTTTGACCACCTCCAGGCAAGACGACCACCTCCAGGCAGCAACCCCCAAATTCTCCCAGTCAAATTCCACCCTGCCTCCGAGCGTCTTGGGAAGCTGAAAATTTAGCTTGACGAGAGGGAGCGAGAGAGCGAGAGACAGAGAGAGAGAGAGAGAGAGAGAGAGAGAGAGAGAGAGAGAGAGAGAGAGAGCGAAACCCCCCACCTCCAAGGCGGCAAAATGACCGCCATCCGGGTGCTCGCGGCGGAATTGCATATTGTAGTAGTGCTTCATCACCTCTTCCGGCATCTACAAGGCCTTTTTTGTTTAGAAATTGGTCCATGAATCAATTTCTTAATTTCTAGACCTAAAAAACTCACCTTATCGAAGGGCTCGTTTCCGAAATTACTGTGGCCCGTCTGGACAGAGCAGAAGACCCTGAAATCACGCATTAATAGGCTAGAATTCCTCAACAATATCTGCTAGCCTGCCGCCTATTTCCATACTCACTTTCCCAGCTCTTGATTCCGAGTGTCCGCAAAATATTCCTTGTAAAATCGCTGTGAATTGGCGATGTTCCCCTGGGCCCAGTAGATGGTCACCACCGTCAGCACCTCGTCGAGCGTGAATTTTCTGAATACAAACAGTTGAGAAGCAGCGAGAGAGAGAGATCGAGAGGACAGAGAGATTGAGAGAGAAAACGCTAAACTTACTTGGTGATGCCGCCATCTGGAAGGTCACGGAACTCCAGGTTTGTCCACGATGAGAACTTCTCCAGAATGTAGGCTGCGAGGCCGATGGGCGAATCGTTGAGTGCGACTCCTGGAAACGACAGGCTAGCAGAGATTGTTGAGGAAGAGGAGAGGGCAGGCTAGCAGAGATTGTTGAGGAAGAGGAGACGGCAGGCTAGCAGAGATTGTTGGGGAAGAGGACCGGGCAGGCTAGCAGAAAAGCTTTGAGAATTCCCACCAACGGTATCCGGCTTTGTCCCCTGAATATGCATATATCCCGACTCAGCCATGATCATCCCGAACAGGCTGAAGATGCTGAAGTTGGCCTGGTTGGGCGACGCGAAGAACTGGAAAAGTTAATATTGCAATTTTCGTAGCTTGCAAGACCCCTAAACTAAAGAAACTCGCTAGTTTGGGGGCGAAAGAGCCGAGAATGGCCTTGACCAGCCCGATGCCGTGGAACGAGCCGGCCCCGTTCATGTTGACGTGGAGGGCGAGGACGCTAGAATGAGGCGTTGCTCTCGCTCTCTCTCGCTCTCTCTCTCTCTCTCTCTCTCTCTCTCCCTCGCATAACCTACTTTTCCTTGTACATCTTCGCCAGGTTGGTCGTCACGATGGCTCCCCAGTCCCCACCCTATAATGTGAATTCATAATCTTGTTTTAGTTTGTCTCTGTCACACGCCCTTTAAAATTTTCACCTGCAAGTAGAATTTCTGGAATCCAAGGCGCGTCATCAACTTTTTAAAGACTCGGGCGCATTCCACTTGAGAGAAGCCTGAAACGGGAGGTCGTTAGAGAGCGAGGGAGAGGGAGAGAGAGAGAGGGAGGGAGAGAGAGAGAGTACCTGTCTTTTTCGGATTTCCAGAAAATCCATAGCCTGGAATCGACGGCGCAACGACTTCAAACGCAAAGTCGTAGTCGAATCCGTGCTTTTTCGGGTCATTTAGGATCGGAATTAGCTTGACGAACTGAAAAAGAAAACGAAAATTGAGTGCTGGAAATCCGGAAATGATCTCTGCTAGCCTGCCCTCTCCTCTTCCTCAACAATCTCTGCTAGCCTGTCCTCTCCTCTTCCTCAACAATCTCTGCTAGCCTGCCCTCTCCTCTTCCCCAACAATCTCTGCTAGCCTGCCCCTACCTCTTGGACATTTCCGGGCCATCCGTGAACCAGCAGAAGGGGTAGAACCTTCTTATAGCCGGAAGCCGCCTTGGAACGGATGAAGTGAACCTGAAAAATAAACTTTGAAAGCTGTTATCAATTTTTAAAGGGAATGGGAAGCCCAGAAAATTGCTAATTGGCGAATTCAGGTACAGTTTTTCATTCTCTTTCCAATGGTATACTGAAAACATTTTTAAATAGAAAATTCTACCTGAATTCCCTCGATTTCGGTGGTGAACTGGGTAAACGAGTTGAGGGCCGCCTCGTGCTTGCGCCAATCGTACTTGGAACGCCAGTATTCTTGGACTTCCTAAAATTGGGCAAATCGAAATTGTTGTATCAAAATTGTCCTAAATATTAGAAGAATTAATATACCTTTAAATAATGCGTGTTGAACCCGTAGCGGAAATTGTCGGAATCTTCGAGCGTCTCGTGGCTGACTCTCGAGTGCAAGAGACGGCTTTTTAGGTCCTAAAAATCGAGGTTAAAAAATCCATAGCGATTTTTGCCTTCAATGGCCCTTTAAAACCCAAACCCACATCGAGCACTTTTTGCGGGACATTAATTTTGTAGGGGTGTATCGCCTCGTCGTCGGCCCGCCACTCCCCGCTGCCGTACCACCCGTTCTCGACAATGTCCACCTGGAAATTGAGCGTATAGAGGATCGTCGCGTAGCCGGATTGGAATGAAATTTTTAGTATAGTGGCAGATTGTTATAATCTATGTTCTCTAAAAAATTTAGGTAATTATCTTGAAAAATTAAAAAGTTATAGCAAAAAAAGGTAAATTTCCCCATGTTTTTCGCGATTTTTTTCTATAACTTTGCGATTTGCAAAGCTAGCTTATCGAAATTTTTACTGCAAATGGATGATACCTTAAACTATAATCCTGCATAAAATTAAAGCATGATCTGAAAAAATTGAAAAAGTTAGAGCAGAAACAGTGGTTCTTTTTGGATGTTTCAGCGAATTTCAGCAACATTGTCATAATTTTTCAATGAATTATGCTGCATTCCCTGCATCCCAAATGGTCTCTGCTAGCTTGCCTTGGGCTCCGGCGAAAAGTGGCACCAGGCGTAGAGAATCGCGCTGAGAACGGCACCGCCGAGCAACAGCTTCGTCACGCAGCAGCCGCAGCCCATTTCTGGAAGGTTCGAAGTAAAGCCAAACCCAAGCCTAAGCCCAAGCCTAAGCCCAAGCCTAAGCCCAAGGTCAAGGCTAAGCCTGAGCTTAGCCAAGCTTCAGCTAAGCCTAAGCCAAAGCCTAAGTCTAAGCCTAAGCCAGGCCTAAGCCTAAGCCTAAGCCAAGCCTAAGCCCAGCCTAAGCTAAGCCGAAACCAAGCCTAAGCCCAAACCTTAGCCTGGAACATTGAAAACGTTTTAAAACTAAAATGAACCAGCGGAAATAGGGCGGAAAATTCGTGGGGGGCGGGCAGGCCAAAAAATTGGACCGGTCGCTGGGGCATCGAGGGCAAAAAATGGGGGGTAAGAGAGAGTGAGAGAGGGCGAGAGAGGGATAGAGAGAGAGAGAGAGACAGAGAGAGGCAGATAAGGCGCGGGCAGAACACTACACAACCACAACACAAACAGACACAAATACGCTACAAATCAGCACCCCCAGCCAAGGCCAGGTGTAAACAGATAAATTGCCGGGCAGATAGCGATTGAATGATTGGAATAGGGGCGCTTTTAAAGGGTTTGTGAAGTCAGAAAATGTCTATGGGTTTCAAGAAAGGTTAAGGACTTTAAAATCGATCAATTTAGATATTTTGACGCTAAAGACCTCAAAAATCCAGACCTAAAAAATCGACAAATCAAGAAAAAAATGTTTTGAATCGATTATTAAAGGAACTAGAACGTCTAGAAAATTTTTACAAAGTTTTTCCGGTACCGTTTTTTGTGCCTTTTCCGATGGTATATAAAAAATTCAATAGTTATTGAGATTTTGTCTGGAAAATCGAGCAAAACTTTAAAAATCAGCACCACCCCTCGAAAATACCTTGAAACAATTTTTTTTTAAAGGATCTGGCGAGGTTATGAATTTTTTTAGATACGTTTTTCTAGTACAGTTTTTCACGCTCTTTGGAATGATATCTTTAAACCGAATTTTCTTTATAGATTTTGGCCTTAAAACTTACATTAAAGGGATACCCGGCTTGAAAACCCGAGGGAACACTTTCGATTGGATTTTAAAGGGCCTGAGAAGGGCAAAAAAAATTTGAATAAGAATTTTACATAGAGTTTTTGATGCTCTTTCCAATGATGTGCTTGAAAACACAATATGGCACATTTTATGCAATTTACGGACAGAAAATGATCGCATTTGAAACGGTAGTGAACGATTCATTGTATACCTGAGAAAAACACATGAAAAATCAACAATTCCGGCAGTAGCTGCACTACCAAATCCAGCAGACGACCTCCTGGGGCGAGGCGCGGTAGTCGCGGTTTTTGGCGAGGAATTTCTGGAACTCTCCCCGGTCGGTCATGTAGATGAAGTCGTCGGCATTTTTGCGGGCCTCCAGGAGGGGAGATCGTGCTCCTAAAATGCAAACATGTTTGAAAAGTTAAATGCATCCCACCGCATTGTCCCATCTGGCGGACGCACATCCCGATCGGAGCCACCTCGTTCTAAAAAATTGATAAAACCTGAAAACCCAATACCGTACCCAGCCTTGCATTTGCATACGGCGACGCTCCGACGCGTCGGCGGTCAGGAATTGGCCGCCGTTTCGGGCCATATAGGAGAGCTCCTGGAGACCGGGGCATCGATTTTTCAGCATTCCTGTGTTCCTGGAAAAAGCGGATCCTGAAGAGTATCCTGAAGTCTGCTAGCCTGCCCTCTCCTCTTCCTCAACAATCTCTGCTAGCCTGCCCTCTCCTCTTCCTCAACAATCTCTGCTAGCCTGCCCTCTCCTCTTCCTCAACAATCTCTGCTAGCCTGCCCTCTCCTCTTCCTCAACAATCTCTGCTAGCCTGCCCTCTCCTCTTCCTCAACAATCTCTGCTAGCCTGCCCTCTCCTCTTCCTCAACAATCTCTGCTAGCCTGCCCTCTCCTCTTCCTCAACAATCTCTGCTAGCCTGCCCCTCTCCTCTTCCTCAACAATCTCTGCTAGCCTGCCCTCTCCTCTTCCTCAACAATCTCTGCTAGCCTGCCCTCTCCTCTTCCTCAACAATCTCTGCTAGCCTGCCCTCTCCTCTTCCTCAACAATCTCTGCTAGCCTGCCCTCTCCTCTTCCTCAACAATCTCTGCTAGCCTGCCCTCTCCTCTTCCTCAACAATCTCTGCTAGCCTGCCCTCTCCTCTTCCTCAACAATCTCTGCTAGCCTGCCCTCTCCTCTTCCTCAACAATCTCTGCTAGCCTGCCCTCTCCTCTTCCTCAACAATCTCTGCTAGCCTGCCCTCTCCTCTTCCTCAACAATCTCTGCTAGCCTGCCCTCTCCTCTTCCTCAACAATCTCTGCTAGCCTGCCCTCTCCTCTTCCTCAACAATCTCTGCTAGCCTGCCCTCTCCTCTTCCTCAACAATCTCTGCTAGCCGGCTTATTTTCAAAATGTCGAAATTCATAATGTCGAAAAGTCATAATGTCGAAATTTACATAAGCTAATATTCCCAGTAAAGTCCCCGAATTCTAGGCAAAAAAATGTTGTCGTGAAATAAGATAAAAAATAGAACGTGGAAAAATTTTTTTGGCTGGGATTTGGCGGTTTCACCGGTAAGATTAGCCTATGTAAATTTCGACATTCTGAACTTCGACATTATGACATTTCGTCATTATGAAATTTCGACATTGTGAAATTTCGACATTATGAAATTTCGACATTATGAATTTCGACATTATGAATTTCGACATTATGAATTTCGACATTATGATACCAATTCCTGCTAGCCTGCCTTACCTCTCAAAAGTCTGCATGCTAATGATCTTCCCGGTCCGATCAGCAGCTCCGAAGCCTCGCCCACTTCGCTGATCGACCAGTCGACGGTTGGGATGCGTAAAGAAGCGTCGCGTAGTCGGATTGTACGCACGGTATACCTGCAGTAACTAAAATTCCGCAACAACCTCTGCTAGCCTACCGTAGACGCGAAAAAATCGAGGCTCGGGCTCTGCTCCTTGGCGAAATTGGGGTGGATCTTGGTGATGGTGGTTACTAAAATATTGTTAGGATCGAAATTAGCAAATTTTAGGTTTTTAAATTTAGCTGGGCTCGAAAGTTTTAATTCCGGAATATGCAAATAAAGCGTACTGATTTTCGCACCACCAGGTCCCATTGGCGCGAACGGAGAGCGGCCAGGACCATCTAAAAATTGTTAAAATTGAGCGAAAATCTACAATCTATACCTATTTTTTTAAATTTAGGTTATCTACGTCCTAATTACAATAGAATACGTTATTGAGCAAAAAGAGGTATAGGCAAACTTTCACGCTTACCAAGGCCCAATTCCGCCACATTCCGTACTTCCTTCTGGCTGGAAAAGAGATAATTGATGAAACGTTTTGAAGTTTCCACAAGGATCTCTGCTAGCTTGCCCTACTTCTCCGAACAGTCTCTGCTAGCTTACTTGGTTCTCGCAGAAGCAGAATCGCACAATCGCAGAACCTCTGCTGGTTCGGCTTGGTTTTCCTAAAGCACCTCTGCTAGCTTGTCCTACTTTTCCTAAAGAACCTCTGCTCGCTTGCCCGATTTTCCGAAAGGCTGCTAGCTGGCCTTGGAATTCTACAACGATATCTGCGAGCGTGCCATGGCCCTCCTAAAGAATCTCTGCTAGCTAGCCATGATTTTCCTTAAAAAATCCCTGCTAGCCTGCCCCTGCGGTCAAAAGTACTAACTCGTAGTCATAATCGTTGTCATTGGCCTCAAATCGGCCTCCATCTTCAGTCTTGAATTTCCGCTTCTCGATCCCCGGCGGTCCCCAGGCCATGGCCACGCTGAGAAGCGAGAGAAAGAGGGTGAGAGAGAGCGACAGTCGAACCATTGCCCTGAAACACTATATTCCCTACAAATTTTACTGAAAAATACCTAAAATAGAAAAAGTTATTCAAACAAAAATTCAAATTTTTTCCGAGGCTTGGTCTTAACTTTTTAGGTTTTTCTACCCAATTAACTTCTAACTTTTCTAGCTTTTACCCATTTTCCCCCAATGGTCCTTGCTGGCCAGCCCTCCTAGGTCTCAGTATTAGTTACGAATTACCATAAAATTACGATAAAAACGAAACGTAAAAGGAATGATTAAATCTCAAAAAAATGCCAAAAAATTGGGAAGCGCATTGCTAGTGGCTTTGTCTGGATGCTAGATCGGCCCATCCCCGACATGACCTCGAAAAATTCCGCCTAACTACTATGCCCGATATTGAGCTATGTGGGGATGGAAATCGCGAAAAAGAAGAAACCTTGCGGGAGCCCAATGATGTTTGCTGCACTTTTGGACTCGCTAAAATTGGATGGATAAGGTGCGAGAGAGAGAGATAGAGAGAGAGAGAGAGAGAGAGAGAGAGAGAGAGAGATAGAGAGAGGAGAGAGGGAGAAAGAAAGAGACAGAGCGAGAGAAAGCGAGAGAGTGGGAGAGCGAGAAAGGGAGAGAGAGAAAGAGAGCGAGAGAGAGAGAGAGAGAGAGAGAGAGAGAGAGAGAGAGAAAGAGAGCGAGAGATAGATAGATGGAGCGTGAGATATAGAAAGCGATGGAGAGAAAAAGAACGAGAGCGAGGTCGAGAGCGGGCGAGAGGGAGAGAGAGACAACGAATTATCAACACCCTTCCTTTGATGGATGACTTTAATGCGTGTTTTAATGCCCGCGCATTTAGTATAAATACTTTTCACGTCTAGCAGCGGAAAGAACATGAAAAACTACACCAGAATTCTTCAACTACAATTTTTTTGGTCTTGCTGGCCCCTTGAAAATTCGGCTTAAACGGATTCCCAGATGCCCTTGTTTCGGTGGTTGACTTTAGTGCATGTTTTCACCCAAAAAAAAATGTAGTCATTTATTTTTAAGACTACCATCGGAACGAGCATGAAAAATACACCAGAATTTTATATTTAAAGTTTTTCTAAACTTCAAAGTCCCTTTAAAATGTCCTCAAAACTATTTTTCAGGTACCTCACCTCCGTTCTTGTAGTCGACCGTATCCCAGGGGAATTAAGAGTTCGCAGCTATGTTGTGGACCACCTTCGATAGCCAGCCTCAATTCCCAGGGAGTCTGACTCAGCAGTAATGAGAAAATCAGGAACCGAAAAGCTTATCGATTTCTGTTCTAAATTTTAGATTTTTTTCGATTTCCGGGCTGGGGTACCACTCTATTATTTTATTTCCTTATTTTCTTATTCACCATCTTTCAAAACTTATTTTGGTTAAATTAGACCAAAAACCGGCTTTTTACTTGACTCCATTGCCGGTGCTTTTTACATTATCGGGGGGTCAAGTTTTTATTAGGATAAAATTTTTTCAATATATTTAGCGTAACTGTTTCCAAATTGATTTTTTTTCAGGAGGATAGATATAAAAATGTTACAGATTTTTACGAAAAGAATATCGAATTTTTTCCCCAAAAGATTCGAATCTTTTTCGATGGCTTTTCACTTGAACAATTGCTACATTTTATTGCGCACTATTATAATACTTAAGATTACGCTACAATGCATGAAAAAAGCAAATAAAAATTATGTCGATCTGAAAAAATTCGCGTCGCGGAATTAAAGTCACTAAAAAAAGATTTGGACGCAGCAGGTTTTGAAAACATTTTTTCCGAAAGTTCCTGATGTTAAGCTCAATTCCCCAGTCACCCATCCAAATTCTCTTCCCCAAGGAATCCCGATGTTTGGCCAGATGCCAAAAATCACCGTCCTCGCCCTAGAAAAGCCTCTCACAGAAAAATCTATCAAATTTGTGTCTGCCTTTGGGGGTT